AGGAGAACGATGATCTGGACGAGGAAGAGGACGAGGAGGAGGAGGAGGAGGAGGAGGAGGATGTGGAGGACCACAGGAGAGCCTTCTCTGAAAGTGGGTGCGTCGACCTCGAACTTGTGTCTCCTCCTCCCCCCTCCCCCCGCCTCCTTCTTGTCCTCGTCATCGTCGTCGTCCTCCTGCTCCTCCGCCGCCATCCGCCTCTCTCTCTCTCTCGGACCTGGCGTCGTACCGAACATCCTCCTCCTCTTCCTCCTCCTCCTCCTCCTCTTCCTCCTCTCCTCCTCTTCCCCCTCTCATCCTCCGCTTCCTCCTCCTCTTCTTCCTTCTCCTTCTTCTTCCTCCTCTTCCTCTCCTCTTCTTCCTCCTCTTCGCTGTGGGAGCAGCAGCAGCGGCGCGGGAGTGCGGCCGCGGGGCGGCAGAGAGAGAGCGGCGGCCCCCAGATCCAGCAGCCCGTCGTAGGCAGCGCGCGACCTCGCCCCTCCGCTGCGCCATCGTGGCTCTGTCTCTCTCTCTCTCTCTTTCTTCTCTCTCTCTCGCTCTCTCTCGCTCTCTCTCTCTCTCACTCTCTCTCCCGCTCTCTCTCTCTCTCTCTTTCTCCCGGTCTCTCTCTCTCTCTCCCGCTCTCTCTCTCTCTCTCTCGCTCTCTCTCTCTCTCTCTCTTTGTCTCTTTCTCTCTCTCTCTCTCGCTCTCTCTCTCTCTCTCCCTCTATCGCTGTTTATTTATTTCGTTATTTATCTATGCATTTGTTTGTTATTGTCTCTCTCTCTCTCTCTCTCTACACACACACACACATATATGTGTATATATTCCCGTTTCTATATTTTTACAATCCGGGGGGGTGGGAACTCCCCCCCCCCCCCCGGAAAATCGGACCCCCGGGATCTGGCGCTTTTGGGGCCCCCTGGACGCCTTGCAATGGGTCCCCCGGGCCTTCCGGGCCTCCTGGACGCCCCTGCCGGGCCTTGCCAGCGGGCCCAAAGCGGTCAGGAGGGCGGCCAAACGGCCCCGCGAGAGCCCCACGCGGCCCCAGACAGCCCCAAGACGCCCGAAGACGACCCAAAGAAGACCCCCAAGAGGTCCTCCAAGTGCAAAAAACAACACTTTCCTTTAGTTTTTTATTGAATTTTTGGACATTCGGTTCTTCGGTATTCCGTGCGTCCGAGTCCGCCGAAGAGGCCCCAAAAATCCTCCCACAACGGTGTCAAAGGGCTTCCAGACAGTCCAAAAGAGCTCCAATATGGTCCAACAGGGCCGCAAGATGGCCCCAAGAGAGCCCCGCTGACAGCCCCAGATGGCCCCAAGACGCCTCCCGAAGCACTCCAAATCGTGACCCGGTCGTTCAGGGAGACCGTGGTTGGTAGCAAGGTGGCCGCAAGAAGCCCCCAGAGGCCCCCAAAAGGCGCCCAGGAGGCCCCCAGAGGTCCCCAAAAAGCTTTTGAGAGGGGCCCAAGAACACCTCCAAAGAGGAGCCCCTGCAATAAAAACTGGGGATGAGGACAAGGAGTGGCTCGCAGACAAGGAAGATTACGAGTAAGAGGAGAGGAAGTATAAGGATAATACATAACATTACTATAACGACGATGGCGCAAACGGCAACAATGAATCATCGCTATATTTGGTTATCCTGCATGCCGAGCTTTAAGAACCAAGGTGCATGGCGCGAAGCGCCAATGCAGTCTTGTATATTCCCTTTTCTATATTTTTACAATCCGGGGGGGTGGGACCCCCCCCCCCCCCCGGAAAATCGGACCCCCGGGATCTGGCGCTTTTGGGGCCCCCTGGACGCCTTGCAATGGGTCCCCCGGGCCTTCCGGGCCTCCTGGACGCCCCTGCCGGGCCTTGCCAGCGGGCCCAAAGCGGTCAGGAGGGCGGCCAAACGGCCCCGCGAGAGCCCCACGCGGCCCCAGACAGCCCCAAGACGCCCGAAGACGACCCAAAGAAGACCCCCAAGAGGTCCTCCAAGTGCAAAAAACAACACTTTCCTTTAGTTTTTTATTGAATTTTTGGACATTCGGTTCTTCGGTATTCCGTGCGTCCGAGTCCTCCGAAGAGGCCCAAAAAATCCTCCCACAACGGTGTCAAAGGGCTTCCAGACAGTCCAAAAGAGCTCCAATATGGTCCAACAGGGCCGCAAGATGGCCCCAAGAGAGCCCCGCTGACAGCCCCAGATGGCCCCAAGACGCCTCCCGAAGCACTCCAAATCGTGACCCGGTCGTTCAGGGAGACCGTGGTTGGTAGCAAGGTGGCCGCAAGAAGCCCCCAGAGGCCCCCAAAAGGCGCCCAGGAGGCCCCCAGAGGTCCCCAAAAAGCTTTTGAGAGGGGCCCAAGAACACCTCCAAAGAGGAGCCCCTGCAATAAAAACTGGGGATGAGGACAAGGAGTGGCTCGCAGACAAGGAAGATTACGAGTAAGAGGAGAGGAAGTATAAGGATAATACATAACATTACTATAACGACGATGGCGCAAACGGCAACAATGAATCATCGCTATATTTGGTTATCCTGCATGCCGAGCTTTAAGAACCAAGGTGCATGGCGCGAAGCGCCAATGCAGTCTTGTATATATATATATATATATATATATATATATATATATATATCGGAGGTTGGGGGGTGAGATCGAAGTGGAACGGAGAGCCCCCCACCGGGAAATCGGTTCCGGCTTCGTGTTCGTGCGTGCCGCGCGTGCGGGCGAGGCGAAGCTGCGTCGGTGGGCGAGAGGAAAGTCTCCTGTGGCTGAGGCGCGGCCGGACCAAATGATTCCCCCCCCCCCCGGCAAACGTGGCCGCGCGGTGTCCCGCCAGTGTCCCGCTGGTGTCCTTGTAAGTCTCCTGTGGCTGAGGCGCGGCCGGACCAAATGTTTCCCGACCGGCAAAAAGGGCCGCGCGGTGTCCCGCCGGTGTCCCGCCGGTGTCCCGCTGGTGTCCCGGTGTCCCGCTGGTGCGAAAACAATAGTGAGACCGATAGTGAGATCGATTGTGAGATCGATTGTGAAATCGATAGTGAGATTGATAGTGAGATCGATCGAGTGAGATCGATGGTGAGATCGATTGTGGGATCGATAGTGAGAGCGATAGTGGGGTCTATGGTGAGATCGATTGAGTGAAATCGATAGTGATATTGATCGATTGAGATCGATGGAGAGATCGATAATGAGTTAACGGGCGAAGAACAGTATAAAATAAACTTTTTCGCTGTCGGGGGCGCCTGTCCCTGGGCGGCTGGAAAGTATATACCCCTACGGTGCCACCTTAAGGGTATACATTTTCCAGCCGCCCTGGGACAGGCGCCCCCGACAACGAACAAGTTTATTGTATACCGTTCTTCGCCCGTTAATTGAGATCGATAGTGAGATCGATGGGGTGATATCGATAGTGAGTCCGATAGTGACATCGATGGAGTGACATCGATAATGAGATCGATAGTGGGATCGAAAACGAGATCGAGAGTGAGATCGACAGTGAAATCGATCGAGTGAGATCGATCGAATGAGATCGGTAGTAAAGTCGATAGTGAGATCGATCGTGGGATCGATAGTGAGACCGATAGTGAGATACAAATCGAAATGCACATCGACGCGCATATCAACAAAACAAATCGACATGCACATCGATAAGCAAATGCAAATGCAAATCGTCAGGCACATCGACATTCCGTGCTGTATGCTGTGCCAAGAGCGCGCGGCAACGCAACAATCTCTGAACACCAAAGCTTCCAGTACGAACGTTGGCGGAACAGGCTCTTAAGGGTCGCTCCAAGAAGCTCCCGGGGGGCCCAAGAGGCCCCCAAGAAACCCAAAAAGGTTCCCAAGAGGCCCCCAAGAGGCCCCCCAAAGCCCCCCAAGGGGTCCAACAGACGAGCCCTAACGGCCCCGCAAACCCATGCAAAATGAACGACATAATGTATCATTTCGTTGGTCCCCGGGGGGGGAATGGTACCAATGCGCCCAAGAGCGAATGGTGACGTAAACAACTCGACACCAAAGCTCCCAAGAGCGAGCCCGAAACGCAACTATTTCTGAACACCAAGGCTCCCATATAGAGTGGGGTCGATAGTGAAATCGATCGATTGAGATAGATAGTGTGATCGATCGAGTGAGATCGATTGTGAAATCGATAGTGGGGTCCATGGTGAGATCGATCGAGCGAGGCGGTGAGTCCTCCCCCCTCAATTCTCTTACCATTCAGGGATTTCGGCTCAAGGCTTCTGTTGCAGTCGGTGCGCGGGGGGGCCGCGAACGCACCCACTTCGGTCACGCACTTCCTCCAGCCTCGCTACGAAGGGCCAGACTTCGCCAGCCGAAATGCTCGACAAGAGTGTGGGAGACGCTGAAGAATATGAACGCCCAGACGGCCAAGTACGCCAAGTGACACGTGAAGGTCCTCGACCCGAAGGTCCTTGATCACACGTTCACAGCGGGGAACGAAAAAGTCGAGGTGCAGAGGTTCAGCTGCGTTTTGGTGTCCAACGCGCCCGCGCAGTACATTCTGGCCGGGAAACATTTGGCCCGGCTGCGCCCCCTCCCGTGCCCCCCGGAACTGTTGCCCACTGTTGCCCCCCTCCCCGCGCCTCCTCGTCACCCGCAGGGTGGTCGTATAGGTGTATATGTATGTATGTATGTATATATATATATATATATATATATATATGTGTGTAAATATATGTATGCGCGTGCATTCGCGCACCCGGGTGCACGCATCAACTGATGAATCGGGATCTGCCGAGGCCGAGACGGCAGCCGCCACCAGGTCGAACATGGGCGCGCAGTCAGCCTTAGCGCCTGCAATCGCCAGCGGGGGCTGCGGCATCAAATCCTCTAACGCGTTGGCCGCCCTGGAAACGTTGGATCGCAGAGCATGGATGCGCGGCCGAAGCTGCTGGCCGATCCAAGATATAGACCAATGGGCGGGATGCCTGACCTGGGAGTCCTTGGCGAGAAATGAGCGCCAGACCAACCTGGGGCCCCAGCCCGCGAGATCCGAGCTCCGCAGGAGATGACCCAACAACTGGGATGAGTTCTTCATCAGATGCATCGGCCCAGCGCTGGCAAAGCGGACCGAGAAGAGAGGCAGCTTCCTGAGGGCGGTCCTTTTCGACAGAATAAAGAGCGGAGTCGGCATGCGCCTGAGCCCCGCGCCACCCCTGGGGTCGGAGAACAGGGCCCGCAACGGCCTCGCAGGGATGCGGGGGAGGACGTCAAGCCGACAAAGCTTCGAGGACACCGAGGCGCCTCCAAAAAATCAGGTCCACAGGCCTACGGGGCGTGGGCTCCGCGTCCAAACGCGCGTCGATCCGCTCGATGGCCTTGCTAAGGTCACCAGGCACCACGAAGTTGTCGAACGTGGTTTGGGGGGCATGAGGGAGCCTCTGAGCTCCCGCGCAAAACGCGAACCCCCGAGCTCCGCAGGCTCCATGTTAAAGCCGGCCCCGAGAATGCAGGACTTCGCCGCCGTGGGTAAACAGAGGCCGATGGCCGAAATCAGGTCCGGGTTTCGATCCGACCGTCAGAGTGGCGAAGGTTGGCCGACGCAACTAGGATGGCCCTTGGCAGCTCAAACGAACACACCACGGCCGTGCGAGTGCGAACCAGGCCCCTGGGGACCTCCGAGCAACCCATCCAGGAGCGCGCGGAGACAGCAACATCTCCCGAAGAGTCCCCAGCATCCGTGGCAACGGCAGGAGACCGCGCGCTCTTCCAATCTCGGCGGAGACTCCAGGCGGTAGCCTGATCAGTATCTTCATTACGAATCAGACGATGCTCTTGGCAGAGCAGAATCAGCGCACCGGCCCCCCGCGAATTGCACTTGATGGACTGCACCCTGAGTTGCGAGTTGCACTTGGTGGACTGAATCCCCCGCGAGATGCGCTTGATGGAGTTGCACTTGATGTTGCGCACTATCCCCCGCGAGTTGCACTTGATGGGCCGCGTCCTGGGCGGCGCGGCATCAACTTGGACAGGCGTGATCGCTGCGGCCGAGTTTTTAAACAGTTTAGGACGCGCGGGCCAGAAGAGCGCGCCCCCTCACGCCCCGAGACCAAAGTTCGAGCGTTTCGAGCAAGAGGTGGTGGCTGAGGACAGCTCCGAGTAGCCTGATCCACCGGCGACTCAGGCCACCCAAGGCAGGCGCCCTCCAACGTGAGATCCCCCACAACCTGCGACGCCGAGGATGGGGCGGGGAGCGGGGGCCTGACCAACGCGGCGCGACAGGGCGCATCCTGGGCCAGGCAAATCATTGGGCGCACATCCGACGGTCGAGCGAAACAAATCGGAGCCTGGCGCCTGTGAGTAGTCGGGATGTCGCACGCGCTGCCACTTGTCTGACCGAGTGCCATGCCAGCGCGAAAGAGCAGCGAGCGCCATCGGGTTGACGGCCTGCACCGTCGAGTAAGTCACTCCTCGAGTGAGCTGAGCTGCAAGAGGAGGAAGCGAGGAGGATCGGAATGCCTCGCTTACGCCAGAGAGCCGCTTGCGCCGCTGAGCGGTCGCGGAAAGAATAAGAGGCATCGCTGCCCCCCTGGGGGTTTGACCTGAAGATGCCCCCCGCCAAACCGAAGGACTCGAAAGCGCGGGGTCCAGAGGGAACGCAGGCCGAAGATCCCAGGTCCAGGTGAAGGATAAAACTGCGCTCCTCCTGGGGGGGCTCGATCAGAAGCGGCGCCAGCAATCCGGCCAGCGCGCGCGCGTGTAGACGAGGGCGCCCGAGCTGTCGACGCGGTGGTTGGCGCCGAACCAGGCTGTGAAGCTGGAGAGGCTGCCGTAGGCGCCGACGCTGAAGATGCCGCTTCGCCGCCCGTCGGCGCCGGCGAGGCGGCGGGCTCGGAGCCGGCGGCCGCCGAAGCCTGTGGCGTCTGCGAGGGAGGCGGGCTGCCTCCCGCTAAACCTTCGCCCCCCTCGTCGCAGCGCTTCTTCTTGGCCGCCGCCCCCTGCGCCGGCTGCCTGCGCCCCCCCGTCGAGGGCGTCGATCTTCGACTTGGCCCCCGCGAGCAGGTTGCGCGCCATGTCAGGGGTGCCGCTTCTGAACTGCTCCATTCTGGCCGAGAGCTGCTCCTTCTCCTCCGAGGACAGGGCGTCTTCGTCCGCGATCGCGATGCAATCGCCCGCGCCCAGGTCGAAAGCTGCTGAGAACCGCTGCTCGCCAAGCAAATCACCGAGGCAAAGTTTGCTCCCAGCTGGCGCGGCTGGAGGCGAAGCAGCAGGCCCTGACAGTTCGTCGAGTAGTTGGCGCGCAAGCGCTCCGTGTTCACTGTCAGTTTCCAACAGCTCAGCACGGAGAAGCAGTGCCTGCGACCGTTGCGACTCGAGCTGGTTGTCCAGCTGCTCGAATTTGTTGACAGCGTTCTCGAGGCGCGTCTCCACGCCTGGAACCTTCTGGTGCGCGCGGTTGAGCTGGGCCTGGATGGGTGCCAGTGCAGTAGCTGGAGCTTGAAGTGCCGCCGCCGCCGTCTAATGGGCCTCTGCGCCCTGCACATATCCCAGCTTCTCACATTGTTCAGCCAGCTGTAAGTATTCCTCAGCGGTGAGTGGTGCAGCGCCGTCAGTGGAGCCCTTGCCGCCGCTGGCGGACACTCCTTTGGCGCCTATGCCACCGCCACCTTTGCTGCCTCCACTGTGGTCACTGAATAGCTCGATCGACTCGCCCGAGGACCATGAAGAGGAAGACAGTGCTGAGTCGCTCTTGAGTGCGCCGCAGTGTTTGCCGAAATAGTACCGACCTTCATTCTTCTTGCACCCGCCCCAGCAACATGTCCAGCGCTGTGGACGGATGCCTGCAGGGGTGCCAGCAGCACCGCCGTCACGAACAGCACCCTGAAGACCAGGCACGAGAGGGGGCCAGACCTTCGGATCATGCCGCTTACGATTGAGACCAGCTGCGATGCCATGGCGCCCATGAGACACGACCTTTCTCACCATCAATTTTGCCCACAATGACGCAGCGAGAGTCGTGGTCAGGACAAGGCTCCAGCAGGAGCTCACACATGAAAGTACGCGGGCTGAGATCCCGCGAGTTGAATGCAAAAAGAATCATAGCCAATCAGGCCCGCAACAGCTGTGTACCGTTATGCAGATAAGCTGTTGCAAGCGCAGGCTGAACGCCTGAGCCAGGGCGGCTAGGAGGAGGAAGAGGAGGAGGAGGAGGAGGAGGAGGAGGAGGAGGAGGAGGAGGAGGAGGAGGAGGCAAACGAGGAACGGAGCAGATGGGGGGAGAAGAAGGAACCATAACGAGGAAACAGAAGAGGATGAGGAGGAGGAGGAGGAAGAGGAGGAGGAGGAGGAGGAGGAGGCAGGAGGAGGAGGAGGAGGAGGAGGACAGAGAAAAACATCGTGGCGGAGAAAGACGGACGGACGGGGAACAGGAGGAGGAGGAGGCAGGAGGAGTAAAAGGAGGAGCAGAGAATACGAAGAAACAAGAAGAGAGGAGGCTTCCACCAGGGCCCGCGTAGCCCCCCCCTGGGCCCCATATGAGGATACCACGACGCGTCCAAACGGCCGTCGGGAGACCCCCACGAGACGTCCAAGATGCCGGTTCAGGGGCACAGGGGGGGGCACGGAAGGAGGAGGCGAGCCATCAGGAGGACAGCGGGAGCAGAACATGGGAGGAGGAGGAGGAGGAGGAGGAGGAGGAGGAGGAGGAGGAGGAGGAGGAGGAGGAGGAGGAGGAGGAGGAGGAGGAGGCGGAGGCGGAGGCGGAGGAGGCGGAGGCGGAGGGAGGAGGAGGAGGAGGAGGAGGAGGAGGAGGAGCACATAGGAGCAATCAGGGAGAAGGGAGAGGGGAAAGGGAGAACCACAGAGGGAGCAGAGAAGGATGGGGAGGACGACGAAAAGGAGACCAGAGCAAACCCAAAACGCACCAGCGATATTGGAGCAGACCCTCCCCCCAGGCTCCGTCGTCGGAGGCCCCATACAAAGATTCATCCCCACTGAGGGAAGTGCCCCGTGGGGAGACAACCGTTTGAGGATCCTGAAGCGTGCTAAGACGCCACTCTCGGGACATCAACGCCACGAATCAACCTGAGTGCTGCGTTTTGGCGGTCGTGACTCGTGCCAGAGCACCATTCCTTGGATTTCAACGCCGCGAATCAGCGCAACTGTTGCGCCTTGGCAGTTCTGAATCGTTCCAGAAAACACGTTTCTGGTACGCGTTGCCAGTGGGAGCCAGCGAAACTCTATCATATATTAAAGGCGATAACCACATTTTGAAGAGGAGCCGCCCTCAATCCGTGAAGCTCTTGCGAAGTCTTAACGCGAGTGCGCGCGGTGTTAAGGCGACAGCCACAATTTGAATACCGTCCGCCATCAGCCCGTAAAGTTCTTGCAATGTTTGTAGGGCGAAGAATGTGCGCAGCGCGACGGCGAGAGCCATGTGTTGGAAACGGTCTGCCCTCCATATGTGAAACGGCTTTCAATGTTTAAGCTTCAGGGTCATAAATGGTAAGGAAGTCTCAGGCAAAACGCACCCCGGCCAGCCCTTTCGACCGGTCTCGGGGTGCGACAGTGAGGAGTTGAAGGACAAGGAATTGATCACAGCAGCGCGAGGAGTCTCCTCTCATCTTTTGTCCTCTTCTCGCCTCTCCTCTCCTCTCGTCCCCCCTCTCTCCTCCCCTCCTTCTCTTCCCCCGTCATCGTTTATCCTTCATCCCTTTCCGCCCATGTTTTCTCATTTGTTCTTCACTTCCTCTCTTTGTCATCCCCCTGGCGTGGAGCGGTTTTTTGCACTCGATCGTAAACGTGTGGCACTCGAGCTCGCCAGGTCTATTCCCCTGTTCCCTCTTCATCCCCCCCCTTCCCGTCCTCATCCTTGTCATGTTCGTCCTCATTCCTCGTCCTTCTCTCTCTCCCATACCTTCTTTGTCCCTCTGCGTCGTTCGTCTGGCTCCTCGGGAGGTTTCCAGGGGCTCTTCCCTGTCCTTTTGTTCCTCCTTCCTCGTCCTCCCTCCCCCTGCCGCCTCTCCCTTTTCTCTTCTCCGCCTCCCCTTCTCTTCCTCCGTCCTTTCCTCACGCCTCCATCCCTCCTCCTGCCGCTGCGCCCCCCTCCTTCCCTGTTCCTCCTCTTCATCCTCCTCCTCGGCTTCTACGAGGTGGCAGTCCGACCTCCAAGAGATCGACCTGACTCGGTTCCTCAATCTCCTCCACCTCCCTCGTTCTTCACCTCCTCCTCCTCCTCCTCCTCCTCATCTTCCTCCTCCTTCTCCTCCTCCTCCTCCTCCTCCTCCCTCCTCCCTTTCCATTTCCCTCCTCCTCCTCCTCCTCCTCCTCCTCCTACTACGGCCGGCACAAGGCTTAAGAACTTCGGTGGCTCGGGGAGGGTACCCTTATGTTCTTCGTTTTTGTTCCATGTTCTTGTGCACCCTGGGGGAGGGTATTTT